CTTTGCAGATACAAAAATTAACAAGCGTTATAGTTTAAGAATGATATAAATTGAATCAATATTTAAGGAAGTAATTACAGTTAGCTATAGTTCAGTCTTTTTTCAGTGAATTTCATGTATTAACATTCAAATTTTATTTTACTCTTCAATTAAATAATTGTTGAAAGTATTAAAAAAAATCCTGATGAGGCCCAGAAATCAGAATTTTAAAAAGATTCCCAGGTGATTTCTAATGTGCAGCCAAGGTTGAGAACCACTGACTTAATGCATGAAACTTGGTAGACAATATAGGGGGTATGTGGGAAAATAGTAAAAAGGGTTCTTAAGAGCAAAAATTGATATTTATCAGAGCTCACTGGATGGAAACATTACCTAGATAGGAAAGAATGTCATAAATTAGACAGGTTTATCTTAGTCTGGACGTTTCAGAGGTCAAGCGAGTCATTGGCCACTTTCATCTTTTTGAGATTATCACTATGGAAAAAAAAGAATTACAGGTTTACTGTTGTGGCATTTAGTACAGATGTGTATTTCCAAAATGAACAATTTTAATAGAAAAGGGGGCAATAAACAGTGTGCTATTTATAAAATAAGGCTTTATAAAAACATTACTTTAAAGTGCACTGTAGGCAATAAGACACAAATGTGAAATCCAAAGGTGACTAATCAGTAGCATATTTTTTCAGTCCTGTTAGCTATTTCTGTGTTTGTGCGTGTAACTTCATCATTGGAGATAATATTGAAAGTCTGGATTCCAGGTCCCCTGTGACTGTGAGGCCAGACCCCCAAGGTCTTCCAGGACTTTCCCTCCCCAGTGGCCTTGACCTGAGTTGCATTTTTTTCAGAGGCTCATCGATGAGATTTCAGAAACCTTAGTTTCATTAGAACTATAGTACAATGCATTCCAGGGGCAAGTCACCTTTATAGTTGGCTACTCATGTTTTCTGTCTATTTTTACCAGCTTTAATTTCAGAGAGCAAACTCCAATCCTGGCAGCATACCCTGGGGGGGCGGGGCACCCTCTTCTTGATCATCCCTGAATGGAGTCAGGACTAGAAGACAGGACAGGAGTGGAAGGAAACAGGGCATTTTCAATAACATTCCTTATCAGTTGAGGAAGCTGCCCTGTGTTCATTCTGTCCCTGGAAGCAGGCCTGTTTGGCTTCGGCTGTCTTTACCCTGTTAACCATCTGGCAACACACAGGGAGTGTCTGGGGCAGGCAGAAAAAGAAATAAAGCAATGTTGCTTGCTTAACCACTATGACTGCATTTATTTAGCCTGCCACTGGCACAAACCAATGTAGCTCAAGAAGTCAAGAATCAAAAGATTTTTTTAAAATATTCTTAAAGCAACACTTTTATTTAAAACTAGAGGCCCAGTGCATGAAATTCCTGCACAGGTAGGGTCCCTAGTGGCTACTGGCCAGGGGCACCTCCCTTCCCCTGGCCGACTGCCACCACTGCTGCCGCCCCCACCCCTTGGTTGAACTCCTGGTCCAGGGTATAATTTGCATATTAGGCTTTTATTATATAGGATTTATCATCCATGAATTATCATCTGAGAGAATGAATGATCTTTGATAAGAGGTTAAAATCTTCCAAAGACTAACGATTCCCAGGACACTGGAAATTGAAGCTAGAGGCATACTTGGCACAAATACTCATGTATTACTCCAACCCATTCGTTCTGGGTGCCCCAGGTGTGGCCAGCCTAGAAGCCAGCCGGGCCCATGGCGAGTCCTGTCGCACCCTTCCCAGATCCTGAGGCAGGCAAATTGTTCAGTATGCAGTTTCAAAACGGTGTGAATGATACAAGGAAAGTGTGGGAACAAAAATTGTTGTTGCTGTTGTTTATAAGAACAAAAGTCCAGCTTCTGGGTCTAGGTAAAAGATACTCCAAAAAATGTACTCGACTATATATACATTTGAGGCAGAGTTTTTCCAGACTCTTAGCTGATAAAGGGTGGCAGGGGTGGGGGGTGGAGGGTGCTAAGTTTTTACAACATGAACGGTTGAGAATGCTTTAAGGTAAGTTGCTTTAGGCAGAAGCTGACAACCTAAGATAATTTCAATGACACAAGATAATTGCAAGAATGTAGCCAGAAAACTAGCCCTTTCCAGGCGGAGAGGACAGGGAAGGAGCACATTTCCCCGCCGCCTCCCACACAGTCCTTCCAGACACTCTGCCAGGCCTTTTAATCACATCTAAAAGCTTTATTTCCATTTCTTCTGCTTCCGCACTCCAAGGGCGTCCCTGCAAACCATAAAGGGCGCCATTCCCAGGTTTCCTGGAGGAAATCTCTTCCCTCTGGTCAGGAAGTGAGGGAGACCAGAGTGCAAGGCATTCAGGGCCTTCTGCGTGGTTTGGGGCTGAATCCTGTCTCCCCACTGTGCGACCCGGAGCCAGAAGGGTCTGAACGAAGTTTCCTGCGCAAGGAATTCAAGCTTTGCCTGTGCGGCAACAGTACCCCCAGGGCTCCCCCGATCTGTAGGCCCACGGAGTTCAATGTCGTTCTGATGTGCAGGACTGTGAACTGAGTACACACAACAGTTTTGTCCTTGGTTACTGTTCCCCCAAAGCTGTTGAGCACACGAGAGAGAAGCAGAGACGCATGGTGCCCACCGGTCTTGGGGGACCTGGAGGCAACACCGCCTGTAGGCGGAGCGGTCAGTCTCGCCCGCAAAAAAACGGGGCGTGGGAACCCAGCGCACTTCTTTGAAGGAGCCCCAAGTATCAAAGGTGATGAGCGTCTGCACTGGCTTCTAGAATCGCAGCCCTTGCCCCGCAGGGTGCCTCGCAGGAAGGTTCCCTGCAAGGCGCGCTGCTCTGGGCACCAGCTCGGAGTCCGCAGGTACCGGGAGACCCGCGGAGTCCGGGCCGGGTGCCGGGATGCCCAGCGTGTGGGTGGTTGCTGCGCGCGGGAAACTGGCCACGGGATACGCGCCCTCTTCGGAGTCTCTGCCCACAGCCTCTTCAAACCTGCGCACCGACGTCAACGCGAGCCCCTTCCTGTCTGCGAACACCACCTGCTTCTTGGGTCTCTGGGGTCCGGGAGGTCGGGCCAAGCAGGAGCGAAAGGACGGCTGCGACCGCAGCTCCCCTGGTCCAGCCTGCGGGAGCTGCTGCAGGGCTGGGCTGTGGCTGAGGCAGAGGTGCATGGGGCAGGGCTCAGACGACGTGCTGGCAGCACTGGGACCTTTGACAAAAGGGGAAGGAAGTTCCGATGAAGGGCAGAAGGACCAGGCGTTCCCAACTGCAGCCTGCGCCTCACTGCGCTCCTCCCCGGCTCACAGGGGTCTAAAGACACTGGATAAAAAGCAGCACAGGCGCCCAGCCGGGTCGCTCCATGGCTGAGCGTGGAGCTGTGAACCAGGAGGTCATGGTTCGATTCCCAGTTTTGGCACAAGCCCGGGCTCCATCCCCAGTAGGGGACATGAGCGAGGGGTGTGCAGGAGGCAGCTGATCAACGGCTCTCTCTCATCATTATGTTTCTATCTCTCTCCTTTCCCCTTCCTCTCTCAAATCATTAAAAAATATATATATTTAAACCAGCACAGGCAAAAAGTAGCAGTGGTTTGGGCCCAAGTGAGGGCTCTCAATTCCTGGAGACAGGAGCACTCACCCAACTCAGGTCCAGGCAGCGAGCGTGGCAGAGATGTCAGCGCCTCTAGTCTAAGACCAGCGTCCCCAACAGGAACTAGGTATGTGCTCCTGACCCCCAGTGGCTCTGAGGCGCCTTTTATGCCTTATTCCCTGGTTGGGGAAGTGACAAGAAGTGTGACTCAGACACGTTGCCCCAGGCCACCAGCACTCACCCTGACCAGGCAGCTGTAGGGGTCACTCCTGGGTTACCTGTGGTGGGGACTTTATGATGAGGAGAGGAAGGACAGCAATGAGATGGAAAACCCTTTCAGTTGTGAAGCAGACAGGCTTCGAGGCATGAGAAGGTTCCCAACACACTGCAGATGGTTTCTGCAGAATACTTCTCTCTGCCCTTCCTGTAAAGGACTCCACTTTGTTGCTTTTCCTATTATGTGCTACCCCTTTCTTCTCTCTTTTAAAGAAAATATATTTTTTATTGATTCCAGAGGGGAAAGAAGTGGGAGAGAGAGATAGAAACATCAATGATGAGAGAGAATCATTGATTGGCTGCCTCCTGCACACCCCACACTGGGGATGGAGCCCACCACCTGGTGCTCTGACCAGGAATGGAACCGTGACCTCCCGGTTCATAGATTGATGCTCAACCACTGGGCCACGCTGGCTGGGCATCTTTCTTCCCTCTTATCTCCACCTCGTGGATTCTTCCCAGACTTTAGTTACTGCCTGCTAAGTTTCTGTGTTGATTGACTCTGCACTGTGTGTGTGTGTGTGTGTGTGTGTGATCCAAAGAGAAGGCATTGGGTGTGGCATCCATTGACCAATATAAGAGTTCCCATAGGTTCTTGGGCATGGATCTCTGGTTCAGTCAGTTTGTGGCCAGTGTGACAGGGTCACAGGATGCAATGAGGAATCCCACCTGGTGTGCGTACCTGGACGGCACTCCTGGGCTCGGTGTTGCACATGATCGGCTTGTCTCAGGAGGTGGACCATTTCCTGGTGTTCTTACCTCCGGCATCTTTCTCAGTCTCCTGTATAGACCCAGTTCACTCTCTGTTTGCCTCACATCTTAATGTACCCCAAGTCCTCAGCCCTCTATATTTTTCACTTTATACCTTTCTCTTGCATGGCCT